GACCTGCGCCGCGTCCCTTACGAGAGCATCCCCTCTTCTGTCACCACACTGGAGCTCAACCTCTGCGACACTCCCGATGCCTTGTGCCTCGACCTCTGTGATTTTATTTCCCTCCCATTATCGCTTTGAAATTTGGATCCAGGCTCCAAAATTGAATACATCTGGGCATTGCTCTGATTAAAAAAATGTACCCAGGTCTTGCTGGCCTTTACCTCCCCTTGGTACCCCGTTATGTGCACCAGCAGCCCTGGGGTAGGTGCTTTCCTTCTCAAGGGAAGGTAATGTCATCACCTTCTGAGAGCCCACCTCTGGAAATTGGAAAACTGGATAGCCCACCTCTGAAAACTGGATAGAATGGAATAGTTCCCAGGATTGGTCCCACACAAAAGGTGCCAGGAGAGAAAGCTGGTGCTTTACCTCCCCAGTGCAGCCTGCACAATGAACACTGTGGTTGGATGCTTCGCTTCCCAAGGGAAAGTAACGTTATCATCTTTCAAGAGCTCACCTCTGAAATTTGATAGAACTTCAGAAATTGAACCGTTTTGGAAATTGCTCCTATGAAAAAGGTTCCAGGACAGACAGGTGCTGCTGAATTTACCTCCTCTGGGCACCCTACCATCTGCCCCATGACACTGGCACTAGGTACTAGCCTTGCCAAAATAAATGTACTGCTATAATTTTCAGATGCCAACTTCCCATATTTGGATCCAGGCTCAAAAACTGAATATATTCAGGGACTGCTCCCATAAAATGGTACCAGGACAGAAAGCTAATGCTGCCCTTCATCACCTCTGGGCAGCCTCTCATTTGCATCACCAACCCTGGAGCCAGGTGCTTTACTTTCCAAGGAAAGGTAATTTTATATGTACTGAGGAGCCCACATCTGAAATTCAGATACCACCTGCAGAATTGAATACAGGCCAGGACAGAAAGCTGTTCCTGAGCTTTACCTCCCCTGAGCACCCCCTCACCTGCAGGGAATGAGGATGCTACTTTACCCTTAGAAGAAAAGCTGCCACACCCAGTGTTGTGGTGCAGATGAAATGGTGGCCAGGGCAGGCAAAGGCCAGGAACAGCTCTGTGTCCTGGCTCCTTTAGTGTGGGATCAATCCCCAGATTTACTCTGTTTTGGTCTAGTATCCTAATTTCAGAGGTGGCTTCCTGAAAACTGTGGCTGTACATTTAATTTGGGAAGTACAACACCTCACCCCAGTGTTGGTGATGCAGATGATTGACTGTCCAAGGAAGGTAAAGGCCAGCAACAGCTTTCTGTCCTGGCATATTTTTTGTGGCAGCAATCCCCCAAAGAACTCAGTTTTGGAGGTGATATCCAGATTTCAGAGGTGGGCTACTGGAAGACAATAACACTGCCTTTCCTGTGGAACAAAAGCACCCAGCCCTAGTGTTTTGGCTGCTTGGGGGAGGTGAAGGCCAGCAACAGCTTTCTGTCCCGGCACCTTTTCTTTTGGAGCAATCCCTGGATGTATTCTATTTTGGAGGGTGCATCTGTGTTTCAGAGTCAGTTCCTGATGTTGTATGACACAGTCTTTTCCTTGGGAAGGACAGCACCTAGCCCCAGTGTTGGTGGTGCAGATGTTAGGCTTCCCAGGGGATGTAAAGGCCAGAAACACCTTTCTGTCCTGACACCTTTTGCATGGGAGCAGCTCCCAGATGTATTCTACTCTGGAGATGGCATCTGAATTCCGAGGTGGGTTCCTGATATTGTATGACAGAGCTCTTCCTTGATAAGGCCAGCAGCTGGCCCCAGTGTTCCCGGTGCAGATGACACGGTGCCCAGTGAAGGTAAAGGCCAGCCTGGCACAGCTCCTTCCTGACCTTTTTCCCTCACAGCCACCCTGGTTTGCCGCATTCCCAACACCGGGAGCAGCCCCAGGCTTCCCTGGAAGGTGCTGCACAGCAGCCTGGCTTTGGGAGCATTCATCCTGATCATGCTGGGCTGGTGGCCGTGTTCCACTTCCACAATTCCCACGGGACGCCCAACATGTACTCCCTGCACAGCTGGCTGGGTCTGGGCACCACACTGCTCTCCTCCTGCCGGCTGGGAGCCACCCTGGCCCTCCCAAACCCACCAGCTCCCTGAGTTTTCCGTCCTCACTGTCTCTTCCCTCAGTGGGGAGTGGGTTTTGCAGCGTTCCTGCTTCCCTTGGGTTCCCAACGCTCTACAAGCGCGTCCATGTCTTCTTCAGCTCCACCATCCTCGTGTTGTCTGTGGCTTCCTGTGTGTTGGCAATAAACGAGAAGCTTTTCTTCAGCCTGTGAGCACCGGGGGGAGGGGGCTCGAGGGAGACCCCTTGCAGGGATGGGGGGACCCCTCACAGGGATGGGGAGGCTCGGAAAGATCCCTCACAGGGAGAAGGGAGCTTGGGAAGATCCCTGACAAGGATAGGGGGAGCCCTCAGAGGGTTTGGGAATCCCTCACAGGGGCGGGGGGCTTAGGGAGAGCCCCCGCAGGAACAGGGGTGGCTCAGGGGGACCCCTCACAGAGATGGTTTTAAAAACTCAGCAGGGAAAACGTAAGGCTGCTCGAGCCACTCCCTTACAACAGTGCAGGGGGAAATCGAAGAAAACAAGCCCACTTGAGTCACAGTTGTACTGAGGTAAAAATTGGAAATAACACAACACCACATAGAAAAAATGGTTTACCCACAAAACCAACAAAAGCAAGATGTTATCTGGGCCCCGCACCCCTAGGGCAAAACAAAAAAGGGCTCCCGTTCCCGGGCTGCACGTGTGGCCCAGTAGAACAAAGAAGGGACTGCAGAAAACAGGTTTCCGCGGTTTGACTCCCTCCTCGGCCAGACAAAGGCAACAGGGGCAAAACAAAACCTGGAAGGCTATTCGCACAGGAAAGGGGAAGGTCAGCAAAACCTTCCTTGTCCCGACTCATTTCGTTTGACAAGACGTTTTCACCTTTGGATCCGCGCTTTGGGTTGTCGTTTTATGAGTACCCACCTCCACCTAGTGGAACATTTGAACGGTGACACCGGTGAACCTCCACTACATGGCGCTGTGTATTTGAAAAAGACGTAAATGTGTCAAGGTTCTCTCGACAGCACCAAAAATGAACATCCGAAAACGTCCTCCACAGCTCTCAAAAAAGAAACGTGCCAGTACAGAAAGAGTTCACTGACCTGACCTTCTGAGGTGCCTTTCTTTGTCTGGATGTCGTTTTAAAATTTGCCAAGTACCTTGTTCTACCTTAACGTTCCGAAGTTTGTAGTAAAAGTTTATTAAACCTCCCGAGAATTTTGTTCTTTCTTCCGTGCACCGCCCAGACTAAATCAAACTACCCTCCCCCCAACCCGCCAGTGGGCTGAGGCCATTACACCCTCACAGCTCTCAAAGGCGAGGCCTCAGGACCCCTAAAAGCCCTCACAGCCCCCAAGGTCCTCCAAGACGCCCTACGCCTCGCAGCAGCCACAGCCCTCGTAGGCAACACAGCCCTCGGATGCCTCAGAGAACCGCACAGCCCTCGGACGCCTCACAGAACCGCACAGCCCTCCGATGCCTCAGAGAACCGCACAGCCCTCCGATGCCTCAGAGAACCGCACAGCCCTCCGATGCCTCAGAGAACCGCACAGCCCTCCGATGCCTCACACACCCCCCCCCCCCCCGCGCCGCCGCCCCCCCCCCCCCCTCCGCCGGGTCCCGCCCCAGCCCTCACGGCCCCTCACGCGCGCCCCGCCCTGGGCTCCCCCCGCGCACGCGCGCGCCCCCGCGCGCACCTGCTGCCGCCGTTGCCCGGATGCGGCTCCTCCCCCGCAAGATGGCGGTGGGGCGGGCGGCGGCCCCGCTGTAGCGCCCGGTGCCGGTGCCGGCCCCGCCATGGCGGACCTGGGCCGGCAGCTGCACGAATACCTCGCGCAGTCCAAGGCTGCCGCCGCCGGCGGCCCCAGCGCGGGCCCCGCGTCGCCGCCCGCCGGCGGCTCGCAAGCGGAGGCGGGGGACAGCGGTGGTGTGCGGGCCTGGCTGGGCGCGCTGAACCCGTTCCCACCGGGCGCTGTCCCCGGCGCCCCGGGCGGCGCTGCGTGGCCGTGGGCGGGCGAGGTGGACCCGTGGCTGCCGGGGCTTTCGCGCTGGCAGCGGCTGGTGGGCAGCGCGCTGTGCGTGCTGCTGGCCGCGCTGTGCTTCGGGCTGGCCGCGCTGTGCGCGCCGCTGCTGCTGCTCCGCGCCCGCAAGTTCGCGCTTCTCTGGTCGCTCGGCTCGCTGTGCGCGCTGGTCGCCGCCGCGCTGCTGCGCGGGCCCGCCCGGCTGCTGCGGGAGCCCGGGCGCGGGGCGCTGCTGTACCTGGCGGCGCTGTTCGGGACGCTGTACGCCGCGCTGGGGCTGCGCAGCACCGCGCTCACCGCGCTGGGCGCCGCCGCACAGCTCGGCACCGCCGCCGCCGCGCTCCTGGCCGCGCTCCCCGGCGGGGCCGCTGGCCTGCGCCGCTTGGCCGGCCTGCTCCGCGCCGCGCTGAGCGGCCGAGGCAAGGCACTGCCCGTGTGAGAGCGGCCGGGCTCAGCCCGGCCCTGCCCGGGTGAGCCCGGCCCTGCCGCCGCCCCGGCGGAGGAGCGGCCGCGTCGGGGGCACTGACTCGCCGGCGGACCGAGAGCCTTGAGCTCTCGCCAGCCGACTCCGAGACGGGGAACGCCGCTCTCTCCGCGCCCTGACGCGTTTTCCTCGCCGGTTCTCCAGGATCAGCAGCAGCGGCTGGCGGCCCGGAGCGGGCCCGGTGACCCCGAGCTGTGCTTGCCGCGCTCAGGTGCCAGCCTGCCGGCATTTGCCTTACCCAGCTCCATAGCCACGGCCTGGAGTCGCTCCACTGCTGGGTAGGAGCTGGCAGCATCCCACTTCCCTACCTCCAGGATGGGACCACGTGGCTGCTGCCGCTGCTTCAGACCGTGAGTGAGACCGGAGCGGACGCGGTGCAATTATGGACCTGCCCGTTACTGAGGAGCGGCCGTGGAGCGCAGGGCCGGCGAATGCTGAAACACGAAGATGATTTAGCAAAATCTGATCACGTCTGGGGGACAGCGTTCAAAAATTAACTGGTTTTACCTCCTTTTGTACTGACCCCTACACTCTGAACGTGCTGTGGTGAATCTGAAGACTGTGGCCACTAAAGTGCATTTCTCTCTAAAACCAGCTTTAAAATACCATGCAGTAAGTGAAACAAACTTTCCTGGGGCTGTGGGTCGCAAAGACTGCCCATAACTGTAAGGGGGGGGTCTTCCTGCATGACAATGAGAGGATGAAAGGTGCTAATATTAATTAGGAGCCTTGGCCTTTGCAGGTGCTGCTGCCTTAGAGCTGCTGTAAGGGACCAAATCCTCAGGCTTTAAAAGGGTAGCTTCATCTCTTAGAACTTTATTTTGTATATATATTTTGCTCTCTGAACTGGGGCAGGAATTGCTTCCTTGTCACAGCATGACCTTCAAAAATAGTTTTGCTAATAACTGGAGCTCCGTTTCAGTTCAGAAACTGAGCCTTACTTAGGAAGGTGCTGAATCCAGTGTGACAGAGCTGGGTGCTCCAGTTTGGACTGTGCACTGGGCTCCTGCAGGGAAACGGGACCACCAGGCCTCACCTGTGCAGACCCCCAGCATCTCATGGAGCGTTTGTGCCTCATGGACAAAATAAAACCAAACACTGCAATAGTTACCTGCTGCCACCACTTAAGGTTTAACGTATTCACCAAATACCTTTCTGAATTAAATTGTCAAAGGGGTTACTTAAATGTACACAGATTGCTTTAATAAAACAATTTGCGTCCAGTTGTCAATATAGACATTTCACTAATGGTCACTTTTTTTCCCCATAAAAACGTATATCAGAGCTATCTGAATAGCATTAAATTAGTTCTCTCATTTTTACAACTTCTAAGCTACAGTATATAAAATTGATTTTATTCCTAACAGCAGTATAAAATTAAATCTGAGACAAGGTGGAGCTCTAAACTCACAGGTAGAGCATAAGATTCTATGTGCAACACTGGTAAAAAAGAATATGACCTGAAGAATATAGAAGTATATTCCTAATAAATAATTTTGTCTATTTCCCAGCAATAGTGAGTCATGGTATCACGGATTGGGAAGCTGCTTCTGTCTCTCCTGCTATGCTGTCACCTAAGATTTTGTAAAAGAGCTATCTAATTATCAAGTTTTCTTATAACTTTCTGAGCATATTTCATGATCGTCAAATATTTCAAAACTTAACTAAAGAAGCTGCCCTTTGATGAAGAATATGACTTAACACCAAGTATCATAGTCATTTAAGGAATTAACCACCCATCAGAGGACATAAAAGTTGTCCAGATAAAGCTGCTACCTATAGTTAGGTGCACTCTAACTTGTTTTGGTAGAGGACTGTGGTTTAATTAAAGCCTAAAGCTCATCCTCTATTGGACCTCTTTTAGCCCCTTAAAAATATGTAGGGCTTGCTAACAACAAAAAAAAAAATAGGGCAAGCTTTCCTCTTTGCTAGTGATTATCATGAAATCTTCAGGACAGATCCTAACTCCCAGACATATACCCAAAGTTACCAAAGCCCTTCAGATAGAGCTAAAAAGTACTTTTTTTACTCTCAAGGGAGAAACTGTCATATCAGATGCATCTCAGATGTTTCCCAGTTAATCCCCTTAAGACCATTCTGTCTCTCCTGAGCCCCATGACAAGGATTTTATAGGCTAATGATCAATTAGAATTTTCAAATGCCATTTTATACACTACAAATTAAAAACTAAGAAGAAAACCCTACTTGTGACTGCCTGAACCAAGAGAACAACAGCTAAGCATTTGTGCTTTGAGGTCTTTAAATAAGATCATCAAGACTTGAGCCAGTCTTTGGTAAACCTGACTGTGTGAGAAGTCAGATGCAATAGTTGCTGTGTGTCACTGTGGTATTGCAGTAGCCTCTAGAACTACACTGACTTGTATATTTTATTATAACCTGGAATTCAAGACAGGAGAGAGGGAAGCCTGCTAGTAATTTTTCATTATACATTATATGCTTTACTTTTAATGTAGAAGTTTCCTGAGAAGGTCTGTAGTGTGGGTACTTACATGATAACATTTTCACTGAGGCTTAAGGTATTAAAGGAACCTTTTGATAACCTGGTGGCTGGAGATGATTGACATGAATGATTTATGGGGAAGACAAACTCATGGTTGGTAAGCAGTTTTATTATGAAATGTGGGAAATGGGAGTAACCCCTACTTCTCATTTCCCTCCTCTGGTAAAATCAGGTGACAATATCCTAAAGAAAAAGACACTTGTGTTAATATGGAAGTGATGAACTATTGAGGTTTGCACTTCAGCAATTAATGCACCAGACTCTGCTGAACACCCATAGCTTTAAGCAATGTGTCATGCAGCTGTTGTAAAACATATCAGTCAAGCTGCTAAACTTCATTCTTTCTCAATTTCTATAAACAGATGCTGTTTTGAACAAAAACCCTTGACTCACCCAGGTGAAGACAGTATTTGTCATGGTGTCTGTCTTGCAATCCAGGTTATAACTCACACTATGCCTTTGACAACTTGTTCTAAATGGTGTTCCACGTTTTTCTCTTCCAGGATGGCAGACTAGCAAGCAGCGGTGATTGCCTGTGGTTTGGAATTTTAACATCAGCACCACTTGTAATCTGTACACAGCTGTGGCTAAAGGGGAAAATGAAGGTTCTCTGTACATGATAAACCAAAAAACTACGAGTCAGCTCTCAGTATTTTAAATGGCTGAGATTTCAGGAGGTAGTTCCATCTGAAACACAAGTTTGCCTAAAGACAACCCCCTATAGTAACGGGTGAGTAAAGAATCACACACTGCTTTGATTTTTTGTTAATTTTTGCGGAAATTACATTCTGTATTCATACAAAAACAACGTAACTCTTTGACAAACTGTACATATAGAAACAAGTTTCTGTCTGGAGGTGAACTGAAATCTGTGGAAGTGTTCCATGTCCCCCAACACTTAAAAAAAATTCCAGCTCTTCACAAATAAAGTAGGTAAGAAAGTGAGGAAAATGGGAGTGGAGAGGACAAAACAAAGCCAGCTACAATATTGCAGCTAGAGGCAGCTGACTGATTTAGGAAAAGACCCCTGTTAGGAACTAATGCACATTCAGTTATCCCAGTTAAGAATCCAGGTTCGTGGCATTGCAGATGACTGAGTCCAGAGTAGCAGTCTATTTAAATATTGTCCCACAAGGACTGGGCGTGACCCAGCCAGAGCCTCTTCTATCGTCCTCTTCCACCCCTGGATCCTCCCCTTCGTGACTGGCCAGAGTTTACATTATTTCCTCTTCCCCAGTTACTTCCACTCCTTCCTCCTCGAGAGGGGTTGTTGCCTCCCCCGGGGCCTCCACCAAAGGCTTCATCCCTGTGGAATCCATCGTGGTGGTCTCCATCTAACGATCCAGACCTCCCAGATTTTGGTGCTCTTTGTGAGGGTCCTGAATTTCCTCGTCCTACAAAGGAAGCAGAGCAGTTACTGGTTTAAGTCTAAGCTGTGTCCCTTCTCAGACACGCCGTACATGAAGGTGGTTCTGCTGTGGTGTCATCATTCACAGACCATATGTAGCTGAGACCCACAGTTTTATGCCTCCTCCCTCTATACAATTGGGCAACAATCAAGTAATTCCTTGGAAATTAGAGGTTATAGTTGCTAGAGTCAAAACAGTGACAGCACATCCTCCACACTGCCAGGCACTCCCGGTTCTTCTGCTTCAACACCATCTGTGGTTCTCGCTATGTTTTTATTGCAAAATACATTTTTTTTAATCCTAAACAAAGACTCTGCACTGATGACAAGTTGAGACAGTTGAGGTTGATGGTGAAGATAATGAGTAACATTACTGTTTTGTTCTCTTTTTTGCTAGAAATAATGGAAAACCACTTTATTTTACTGCTAACTGGGAACAAAAGCTACACAAGCTCTTACTGCCAGGAACAGGATTTTCTACTTCTCACACATCTTTTTGGTTTTGACATGTAAATGAGCATTAAAAAAACCCCAACCCAATTCATTAGCCTAAAATAACAAGCAGTATTTCGAAAAAACAAATTTAACAGTAACCTTGTTTTATGGACGCACACTACAGCTAAATCAGGATATTTCTGCTCCACTTTAGCAAAAGTGATTTTTTTGTTGACTCTGGTTGGTTCTGTGTAAAACAGAGACCAAACTGTTCCACAGAGTTTATAATTAATGAAGTTTTAATCTTTAGATGACTTTACTAATACAACTAAAGCTGGCACAGCCCATACATGAAAAAGTATTGTTCATGGTTTGTTTATCAGGCTTTCTGCCATCATTCTGAACTTTCTTTAGCACATTTTGAGTTAATTACCACAATTCTTGTGCCCGGACAACAATTGGTTTAACCTCAATAAAGAATCTGAAAGTTATCACTAATCATTACTGAAGCTGGAGAAGGAATCCTCACAGATTTGATGGATGCTGGCTGCTGGAGAAACACAGCATGCAGTTATGGAAGGAAAACTATTG